CATGTACATTTATGTGCATTGCTGTAAAGCTCATATAGAGTGTACTGCTTAGCTCACTTAGCACAATTTGTGGCAAGCCATGTTTTATGACACCTGAACAATCCTTTTAGAGCAATGATGCATCCGCTATTCATTCAAATTAAACATATTTGTAATTAAAGTTACTTTAGCATGATATAATTGTAATTATAATTCAGTCTATAAAAGGAGTGTAAGATCTAATTGAATAGGTATTGTAACTAAGTTTTTTGTAATTAGCCAAAAAAGTCTGGAATGAACGTACGTGCATTACAACAAGTAGCTAGATTTATATACCTAGAAATGAATAGTCTATTATTACTATTGGCAAGAGTTATTATGTACTCTTGCTATTGGTATACTAGATTTATTATGCTATCTATATATTGAGTAATGTTAATTAGTATCAATTTAATGCTAGGCTACTCTAATGGAAATTGCAATTAGGCATGTTGTTTGTTCCTGCTTACACAGACCACAGCTGGAGCATGAACACTGAAACCAGATGTTTTATAGTTAGCTGTATAAATAAAATAAGTTATTGTTCCAAGTTATTGCTTGTACAAAGCAGATGAGTATAGATCTAGTTGTTTTTAGAACATTTGTGTATGGAATGACATTGTCTCAGCGAAGGGGCTGAGTGATGAGACTAGGAATGACATAAACACAATGATCAACTCATAAAAATGCTGGACAAAATTAATGAATAATCTGCTGTGTATGATAAATAGTATCATAATGAGCAAAAATAAAGGCATCTAATATATAAATGAATAATAGACTGCATAACAGATAACAACATCGGAAGTAACTGCATAACATGGCACTATAATAAATTGAACATTATTATTTGTTTAAGAGGATAATAAATTGTTTATATAGTTACTTCCGTTGATTAACTTATTTAAAAGGTTTCAATACAAACATCTACCGACAAGAAGGCAAGATGTTTTTTGCTATGCTTTTGTGTCTCACATACTCACTTCATTTTTCAATTCAAAGTAAGTATATAACACTATAAAACTGAGAAGCCATTATTTTTTACTATTTTAGGTCCAATATTGAGTCCCTTCAGTACAACACAGCGTGAGAATGAGGATAAAAACAGCTCAACTAATAGTGGTAAATTTATAAATCTACTATAAATAGAAAAGTATAAATCTAGATGAAGAGTAACTAATGATTAATAATTACTAGTAAAAGTTAAAGTATAGTTAGAGTGCTAGGACGAGGTAGTTGTTAAGTTTGTGGGTAGTAAAAAGCAGAATGTCATTAACTTGCTTCATCCAAGTTTCTCAATAGCCTTGTATTCTATAACAGTAATATCTGTACTTCATCTCATGCATTGAAAGTAAAACATGCTCACATCTGTCTTTGTTTATATTAACAGATGATTGGAGTACAGCTGCCAGTACACATGTTGTTGGTATATTACCAATGCTATCCACTGAATCCATTTCACTTGTCATCACTACCCCAGAAACAGAAACAGTGAGCTTTACAGTTAGTTCCCTCACCCAAACAATAGCTAAGGGCTCAGTTACTGCTGGCACACCAACAACTATCAGTGACAGTA